AGATCCTCTGCGGTCACGCTAGTCCACTACGAACTTCGATGAAACCGTTGTAGTAGCAAGTTCAGTACTGTATTTCCTCAGAAAACTAATGTCAAGACTGGCAGGAAGCAGCACTTGACATTGGACTGGAGTCAAACTCTATAGCTGCACTAGCACTTCTCTTATTATTGCGTTATTATTGAGCATAATAAAAAAAATAAAAATAAAGGATAAAGCATTTGCCGTTGATCAATCCCTTTTTGGGATGCGGCACGCATTCTACTTCCATTTGTACATTCGTAGTGGCGTTTGAATGCGATGTGGCCTATACAATGACTTGCGGGGGCCAGCCGATGTACAAGTCAGTGTTTTTATCCTCCCAGACAAGTCTGGTACCAATTAACCGACCCCGGAGGGATGGAAGGCTTGGTTGGCCCGGGCGACTCACGACCCAGGATTTGATCCCCGGACCGCTCGCGTGGTAAGCGTGCCACTTGCCACTACACCACTTCCGCCCCATAATAAAAAAACAAACATTATTTCTGTATTTACACTTCTTTTGTTGCAGCACATGTCACAATTAATAGTTTTATTACCACTATCAATTTGAGTCTTTCAGTGCTTCGGTTTTGCTGCCATATTCGCCTCGTCGTTCATATGGGTTGATAAAAGTGTTTTCTTCCAATTCATCTACAAGGTAATCGAATGTTCCAGGTTATCGATTTTTTTAGGACCTATTGCTAGTTGTAGCGTAATAATTTCAGGGATTTGGATGGCAGACATTAATCCTATTTATATTGGTTGTCACATTTATTTTCGCAGTGATTATATTGATATCGAACCTCTTCGGTAAAGATGTACTAGGCTCACTTGGAAAGAAAAGGGTGAGTATTTAAGTTTTGTTTGGATTTTTTAGTTTTGATATTCGCTATGGGGTAACGCCAAGCAATAATGCGTAGGGATATGGTCTTTGGAATTGTTTTTTTTTCAGAATTTTTTTTTGTTTTTCTTCTTCTCACATTATAAAGACAGGTGCCTCTTTGAGAAGGATTGACTTTTATTCCAAAGATAGATCGGCTCTAGCTTCATAGTAAATGGAGTTTAGCTAAGGGGAACTCAAAGGCATACGCGCTGAATGTATTTAGCAGTCCTCCCGTTAGTGAAGTAGACCTTTTTGCACCGATTTTAGGACTATTATGCGTTATGGAGGCTAAGGTCTAATGTCATAAGACTGGAAAGCTCACTGAAGCCGAATCGACCCTCAAGGGATCTTTAGTGCAAGCCTTGATGCCTGCGCCTCAATGATCCCAGTGCTCTCTCGTCTTTTTTTCTCCACGCTGGCTTCCTTGTCTTCATGCCAAATGTTTCTCCCTCATGAACTTAAAGGCTACTATAAAAAAGGATCGAAGGGGTGCTAAGGTTCCATTAGGTGTTAGCTTCACTATTGCGAAATTCAACACCATTTAATAGTACGGTAGTAGTACACTTAAGTTATCACGAGCTGTCATTGTGGAGTGTGAATTCGAGCGAATCAGGTAGCGACCGATCAAAGACCACCCGCTCATGCATTACATTTGTCTGCAAGTGCAGTAAATCGACAAACGATTTACACCTCATTAATCGCCTGCATTTGCAGGTGCACTCGCTGCCAGTAGGGAAAACAGCCTTCTTCCTGTCACGTGAAAATCATGGCGCGAAACCGGCCCAATTTATTTATAAAATCCCCCTGTAACGTCGAATTTTTATAATGGGGTGCGCAAGAGGGGCTGTGCCAGTCACCGGGCCGTTGGTCAGACTTGAGTGGTGTTACAGTGTTCCCCCTACCTTCAGTCAAATTCAAAGCAAGCCTAACCCATTTTTTCTGACAGCCTTATTGTTAGTAGGATCAGAGAACCACCTGCTGCGAACCTCTCGGTGGAGTCACGGGGGCGCCTACGGCACATCTGGTTGGCTTTTATAGCTCACTGACCGATCATAGTTTTCCCTCCTTAGCCACAGTGCAGGCATACTATCAAGTTGTGCCGGGAAGCACTGACGTCGTTAGGAATAATGTATGGTTCTTTCAGCTTCTCTTCCTGTATGCTATATGTCTATTAGCACTTATTGTCTCAGCATCCTTAGAAACTTGGTATATTGGTCTCTCTACTGGCTACTTACACAGCCGATTCATTGCAGTTACGGTATGTCCAAAGTTCCGACAAACTTCAATTTCATTTTTTTTCTCTTGCATGGCTACGATAAGATCAGAAAGTACACTTACTCATACGGTGGTAAACTTATGGCGAGGTTTTTTCAAGAGTAATTCATCCTCCTAGCTGATATAAATCAGAAAGGGCCATTCATCGGACGTCGCCAAGGTCTGGCTTTACTACAGAAGTGGCTGCAACAGTCACAAATGCTGTTGAAGCTCCAGAGCCGCGTCGCGATATTATCAGTTATTTCTTCGTCCAAAACACAGCTTATCAGTCGTAGGCTCCTCTTTCCTTGCGATCTCTGGTCAGCTGTTTTATTGCTCCGGAGCCGTCCTTTTCACATGCACTGGGGCTTGTCATACACTAATACTATAGACGTCGATGAAATCGGGATGTCATTACTTGTGGTGGAGCTATCCTAAGGGGTACCCGACAGGAGGCCCGTCGCGCGGCAAGAAGGCAGAGTCAGCGGACGAGTCGCAGCGCGTGATGTGCGATGTAGGACGTACAATGGGACATTCTATTTAACTTGACGCGAAACCCTACAGTACGCGCTGCGACTCGTCCGCTGACCCTGCCTTTTGCCGCGCGACGGGCATCCTGACGGTACCGCTATCCTACGCACAGCATATAGTCGTTCGAGCGCGTACGTCACCGTCACTGCGGTGTCTTTCAGATAATGCGGTTCCGCACCAAACATCTTCATCTGTTTCCGAGCGCTGAGCGTTTTTCTTTTGAAGTGAAAAGTGATTAAGGAAGCTCTGAAAAAGCACTCGAATTAGCACGCAAACTGAAGAATCCCTATACGTGACAATTTCAAATGCAGATGGAACCAAAAATGAGTCTCATTGAAAATGGAACTTGATGAGGTAAACGGTAGGGTTTCGATGAAAAACTATAGTAAGGGGCGTTAAATCCGCCCACGAGACCCAATTTTGCCTTTTGGTTCTTCTGTTGTACAAGATTCTATGAAAGCTGCTGCCATCAAAAGGAACGCATTGCTATTCTTCTCTTTCAAGGGCCAAGTCCTATAGCTAGGGGCCAGCTGGCAGCCAATCGGTGAGGAAGAGAGGGGCAAGGACGTCCGAGAGATGGATAAAACCTGGTCACGTGGCTACAGGCCGCCATTCGCTGCGAAAGTGCCACATTTCGTTCCCTTAGGAGAGCCTTGTTTTACAGTGGGCAGATTTCCTCTTCTTCAACATCCTGTTCATGTTGAGATCTGCCTTTAAATTATGTAGAGAATGCTCCCCGCAGAACCCAGTCATCGTTATTCGTGATTTGGGCCATGAACGACGAAATTGAACGACATGAACGTAGGTAATTTGAGTCCTCGTCCATGCCCTCCCCGCTCTTCATATATGAATTTTTCTCCTTCAGATTAAGGATGGACTCACCTGTAGAACAGCGTAGAACCGTATCCTCGGCCTTTGTGCAATTTTCGAAATGCGTCCATAATAAGGAGCAACTATGTGTGCCGATGTAAGGAGTAAAATCATAAAAGTTAAAAGGGTAGAAACCGCAAAGTGTAGGAGGCTAGCAAGTTCACTCGATAGGTGCAGGAGAGCTTGTTCCTTTGGGGGCCAACTGTGGCAGTGGTCCAATATTTTCCAAACGACTTGATGCTTTAAGAGGTTTAATTTGTTCCATTATGAATAAGTATTAATGCAACAGCTGTTTAGGTGTTCAACTGGCTTCTCGTGGTCAGCTACATAGTTCTATTTATCGTAACCGTGCTTTTTGTATAGGTTTTTGTACGTCCGTCATATACAGAAATTGTTGCTCTATGTTGTTGTAAATCACTTCATCAAGAGTGGCTTGTATGTTTGTTTATTTTGACTTGTGATTGATTGAATATAAACGTTTTGAACATCACTTTTCACGTAAATCACTCTTCACGTGTGTTCATAAATTTGGGCCCAAGTGAAAAGCCGCTCAAAGAGAGTGGGTACTCTAATTTGAGATGAAAATAAATACAGACGTGCGTAGTGATTCTGAAGTGCAGAAGTGAAAGTGAAACCAAATGAGATGGCGTGAAACCCGCAAAATGGAACCCTTTTGGCGTGCTGATTCCCCAGTAGGACGAGATTCAGCGATAGCTGACTGTGCCATGTAAGGAAGTTCAGCTCTGCCTCCTTGCTAAAAGGGCTGAGCACCATGGGCGAGGAACCAGAGGATGGGCAGCCAAGCGGGTTTTGATCGGATAGTAGGCTGGCCACGAAGTTCTGCAAAATTTTGCAATTCTCTCCTATTCCAAATGCTCCGTGGATAGGGCTGATAACTAGCACTTGCTTTGCCCTTGCCACACCCTGGGGAGTGCAGGGCAGGTGCCAGACTTTGTAACCAATCGCTCGTGAATTGCGCGAATTGGTAGCGATTGGTCGCAGACTCACGCGTCTTACTCATATCAAAACATGTCGTGCCGAAGACAACTACACTGCGACGCATAATCTTAGTTCCACCTACAAATTTCCCAAAAACTAGAATTTGGAGATGTTTTTGAAAAGGGCTCTACAGACAAATTGTGACACATGCAAATGCGAATCTGAATATTATCACGGAAATCCAGTTTGAGAAAGCAAAAATTTTTTATCCTCATTTTTCCGAAAACAGAGAGAAATATGAGGTGGAACTATGATTTTGCGTCATAGGCAAGTCGGGTATTTTCGAAAAAATGAGGATAAAAATTTTTTGCTTTCTCAAACTGGATTTCCGTGATAATATTCAGATTCGCATTTGCATGTGTCACAATTTGTCTGTAGAGCCCTTTTCAAAAACATCTCCAAATTCTAGTTTTTGGGAAATTTGTAGGTGGAACTAAGATTATGCGTCGCAGTGTATATCCAACGTTATTGCGGCTATTGCTGCGACGATTTGTAAGTTAAGTACTTGTAGGTTCCGCTGCGATTTGGGAATGCATTCCTATGACATATTTATTTTTATAAATTCTCAAAGCACCTTGGAGAAGCGAAATACGTTAAGAAGAAATCCTTGGCACATTCTAAAAAATCGATTGGTATCAGTCACTCAGTTATTCCTTTCTATTTACATTTATTTGCGAAGCTATGCAGAGAACCATGGATGGTGTTGGTCGACATGATAAACTCAGACAGTCTTTCGCCCTGCTCATTCCAATCCATTCCGTGAGTACCGATGTGAAGTTCTTCAGCCGTTCTTCTTGGGCCAATCTTGGCGTTGAAGTCGCCGACGATGACCTTGAAGAAGGTATGATCTTCCTGTAGAACTTCTCCAATTCCATATAAAATGCTTCGTGTTCCTCTCGTCGTAGCTGGATGTTGGTGCGTAGGCGACGAAGATTGTCAAAGCAGGAGTTGAACCACATCTTCTCAATCTCAAACGTCCGATTCGGGTCGTTAGGCTCGTATAAGAACATCGAGGGAGTAGTGAAGAAGACGAAGAACATCCGGCTCCGTGCCCACCTCTTCGATTCCGCTGTCCTTCCTGCCCTAACCTACGCCTCAGAGACTTGGACTCTGCGCAGGCAGGACGAGCATGCGGTCAGCGTTATCCAACGCGCTGTCGAGAGGACGATGCTAGGAGTAACCCTATACACGCAAGTGCAGAGGGGAATCCGGAGTTCCGAACTACGCCAACGATCGAAGATCAGGGACGCTGCCGTTTTCGCCAAGGAATCGAAGATAAGGTGGGCCGGACATGCGATTTTGCGATGACCGTTGGACCAGAGCGGTTACCGACTGGATCCCTCGGGACGTCAAACGAACACCTGGACGACCGCCGGCCCGATGGTCAGACTTCTTCACGAAAGCTCTGAACGAAAGGAATGAAGGACATCGTGTCCCTCGAGCGAGGAGGGTCCACTGGACAACTCTTGCACGCGACAGGGACGAATGGAGACGTTGCTGGCGCCCGCTCGAGCAATTCGATGATCAACGGGACGACAGGTGATACAGGTGATATACATTTATAATGTTACTTAATATACATCCCTCGGCTGACCACTTGTTTCGTTCTAAGTATTCCTTTTTCCACCTAATATTTCAAACTTTGCAGTTGCAGTAAAAATTTAACAAGTGGCTAACTTCTAGAAGAATCCAGGTTCCTAGAAGAATTCGAACATTTCCTGATGCGAGCCATGGAGTTTCTCGGAAACACATTCATCATTGGCACACATCCTCTCACCGTCTCATTTCTCCCACGGCTTCCTTACAGCCCTTTTGAGAAATGAGTCTTTATATATGAGAGCTTTATTTCTATATGTGATAGAAATGGCTCACGATGGGGCGTTATTACGTAATTGGTCAGGCTTGTACATCGCAGATCTGGTTAGATTGGCAGTTTGGCAGCTGATGATAAAGTCTCAATAGGTTAAGACAAGTTCGCATAGGTCTCGAACCTTCCTGCACTTTTGCTCAAAGCCAAAACGAACCAAAGTTCGAAAATGTGGTCCAAAATCCAAAGTAGTCCGAAATCGGTACCCTGCGCGGCCACTATTGGTAGTATTGGGCTGGGCGAACCGAGCACACCGCGCCTGCCGATTACTGAATAACTCCCCTGGGATGCGATGCATAACGATCCCAACTGAGCGCTATTCGGACCGATGTGTGTCCAACCTGATAATGGTGCGCCTGGCTGAGAACCCTCTTCAATTTGGAATTAGCAAGCGGCCAACATTCTGCGGATGTAGAGATGGTTGATAGGGTATTTATGCATTGCTTCCCTGGAGGATATCCCCAACCAACGTAACCCTGCAAAATGAACAGGCGAGAAAAGAAGATCTGCTAAAATTGGAAACTGAGCTGGAAGGTGTTTTTTTCAATGTGGATTTATTTATATCTGTTGAGTTAGTTTGCATCACGAAGTATATCGAAGAGTCGCAATTAAAGTCGGATATCGGTGAAAGGCAGCTATTAGAAGTAGATGTGGTCAGCGATGCAGGGATGAGAGAACAAAACAAGGAGAACAGCTCAGAACCGGGAAATGGAACCCTTTTTTTTGTCCGTTGATTCCCGCATTGGGCCATTTGCATCTGTGCTGACGTGATCAACGTAGAGCTTTGCTGTGCGTCTCTACCAAATGGACCCGCAGTTAGAGTCCGACGGCGATGGGGTCGGAGGGCGCGCGGCATCGCGAACTACGTGGGTAAGGGTTTGCTAGGGCACTACGGGCCAAGTCTTTGCGGCTCGTCCTTCCAGTAGATACCACTCTTTCAGGATCTTCAATTTACCGCGAAATCCTCCTTTATCACCTTTATCAAAAAAGAAGCCATGTCAGTCTGTTGAGAATCTGACCGCAGGATAAGGCATTTGCATCCCTCCATGCACCCCCCCCCCCCTCCCCCTCCCACAGCCACTTATTTTCATATTGGTTCGGAACTGGTCATTCTTTATGGTAAATTACTGCCATTAATAAAGTTGTAACGGTCAGGACGAACATGGTGTCATGGAAATAGCTGCGGAAGTACGAACGCCATCTTTCCAGTGGAGGTCTCGTTACCACTCCTCCCCTTGACCAATAGTGTGAATTGTGTCGCTGAACCTATCACCACTTGACGCTCCCCAACTCCGCCCCAAAACTCCAAAGCTGTGGAAAGTGCGTAAAGAAGGTGACGAAGGGGCGGGTGGGGGGAAAGGGGGTATACGTACTTGCTGAACACTAAATTTTGCAAAACTTCCCCAGTATTTTCCACATTTTACTATCCCTTAGTGTTTTCCATTTCTCATACTTTCCCCGAACACACTGTAACGAAACGACCTCAAACAAGTCATTACCCTGATGCTACTCCTACCGAGGCAAATACCATATACTGCCAAGGAATCCTTGGCCGTGTTTCATTTCAATTCTGCGCCTAGCTCTTTCGTTCTTCGTGCCAATTGAGGTTGGCAAATGTAACTCAAATGGAACTTTACCATCTCAGTTCATGTTTCCCCTTCTTGTCTTTCTTTGAGGTCTTCAATGGGTCGAGCTTTTTGATTCGCTAGTTACAATGATGATCAGATCTAAAAACCTAGTTTGTTACATACAAAACATAAACGATGTCTCACCACCTTTAACACACTTTCCCTGACTATTTGTCAGCTGGAGCGTTAGCACAACAGCAAAAAGACGAAGTTAAAAACCTGGATTCGAATCAGCATTGCTGAAGATGAAAGCTTGAGGTCAAAAAGGCTTGTACAATGCCAAGGGGTGTAAAGAATTCTTTTAAGAATTGAAGAAAAAAATGAAATGAAAGAAAATTGATTTGAAGAAAAAAAGAAAAAAATTGAGAAGATCAAAAAACACCTCGAACTTGCATTGCTTCTTTGACTGTGAAAGTGTTCGCTTCGCTGCACAACTCAAATCACCCCTTGGGGCTTTTTCTTCCGTTTAATTGAGTGAGGCACGAATTCAACTTTATTTGGGCTCTACTTTATGGATATGGAATACAACTGACGTAGTCAGAGGAAACGACGATGGCTATGGGACCTTCCAGTTTCTACAACACAAATAAAACAGTTTTCGCCATAACAACTTCATTCACTCAGTGATTTGTAATTCTATAGAAAAACCAAAAGAAAAAAATTAAATAGAATCTTCCAAAACTGTTGAATACATCCTTACAAAAAACAGATGGTTGCTTGAATTCTTAAAAATGATGTTGTGATTACATTAGCTAAGTTGAATCAGAGGAGAAAATACTGGCTGTATATAACTAACTCAAACGAGTGTGGTTTAGTTGCTCTTCCCACTCCACTCCCACTTCCTGCTCTACCTAGTGGATCATCTCTTC